CATTTTTCTGGGTCATTAAATTTTCTTTACCTCAAATACCATTAATGAATTTGAAGGAGATCAGTTTGCCATCCCAACATATGCCACAATGGTATAAGGGTTGCTTTGTGCCAAGGACAATTAGCTCTCTGCACACCCTGTTTTTGTCAAAAAGCAGTATACAAATTTCCCTTTGTAATGGTGTCTCCATCTCCTATATGAGAAGGAAAATTACCCCAGGGACAATTCTTATCACCTGAGACAACTCTTATTTATTTAACAAACCTTATGAAACAAATCCTTATTTATCATACACTTCCTAGTCACATTCCCATAACTTACCTCCACCCAGGGGTCCCAAACTCCTTTTCCTTTGTCTGCCCTCTTTCCCACGATTTATCACCCTCTCTTAAGATGGTACATAAGTCTTCAATTCTGTTTCTTTGAGGCACATTCCTTTGTGAACCCCCATGTGTACATAGGTAATGTTTTTTTTCCTCCCGTTAATCTATTATCAGTTCGATTTGCAGACACAGCCAATGAACCTAAAAGGGTAGAGAAAGAGTTGTTCTCTTTCTCTACAAATTCAAGATTAGTTTTTATGTTATGTAGTGAAATCAAATATTTTAGAACAATTAGAATAAATTAAATGGGTTAAGTGCTATGCACTGAATTAATATCAGACAGTAGTATATGTACTTCTGAATACTTAAAAGAACTATTATTCTTATGTGGAGACATGGAAAACAGTAACCAAATTCACTTGGACTCTATGTCAAAAGATCTAGAATTCAGAAAGTTTTGCTCTTTAAAGTTTGATCATTCTTTCCTGATACATATACCATATTCCTAAGGAGTCATTAGAGAGTTCCTATTTTTTGTAGCTGACAGTACAGTATTTTAGGGTGGAGGCGGGGGATTGGGATGAGGTGGGGGCAGAGGTACATCTAATTTAAACATTTTTTAAAGTCCTCTTTTTACCTATTAAATTTAATTAATCCAAAGAAGTTTCCTGTCCCATCAAGTTATTTTCCTTACCACACATACCCATGCTCATTTTCTCCTTGCAGCTTCCCTTATGTTGAAACACACCATCTCCACTTTATCTCCACCTAACACTCCTTCTCTCTTCCCTGCTTACACCAAATCCATACTATCTTCATGGCTAGGGAAGCCCATTTCCTTTGTGCAGACTTCCTGGAATTCCTCCAACCCTTATTCAGAATTCTATTCTTGAACTGATGTCCAGTCTAATGTTTAAGTGCTGTCTCCTCAAATGAAATTAAATATTCCTCAAAGGCAATAGTCATTTCTCCTTTTGTTATTTTGCATAGAACAGTTCTTACATCCACACGTTTAATGAATGCTAATTAGAGCTTGGCTATTTATCAAATATCTGTGCATTTCAAAGTGTGTTAGATGTTGAGAGTAAAACTGTAAGCTATACAGAGTTCTATTTCTTTCAGCACACTTGAAGCAAAGGCCACAAACTCATGGTAGTGTTGGGATGGTGTTTTGTTTGGCTAGTGCAATCTTTAAATTGTTCTAAATTAGAATAATTCTAAGCTGGGCATTCACTCCCCAGTTCACATGGCTCTCTCACTCCCTTATGCCCAACACCTATCCAGCTTCACTAATTTATATTACTTCCAGTCTCTTGTAAAAGACATCTGAAGGGGAGAACACAATGATTCCAGATTAGGCCACTTTGGCATGTGGATTATTTTGAGCTGAAGGCAATTGAGACCCAGCAAATTCAAGAAAAACTTTGACCTCTCCTTTAACTATTTAAAAGAATTTAGCTAGGGAGCCTGGTCTAGAAAAAGAGATATTACCAGAGATAACTTTTACCTGAATGACCTATCTAGATGACAGATCAAACATCTAATTGCCAAATATCTGCTCTCTTATCCTGTGAATTACCCTCCTCCCCCTTTAACTCTGAATTCCTATCCCATTCCCTAGTTCAGGATGGCATATAAACCTCAATTGCCCAACTTATTACTGAGTCTCATACTCTTATGGGGTTCCTATATGGATGTAATTAAATTTGTTTTTTCTCCTGTTAATCTCTCTTATATCGATTTATCAGCCAAAGAACCTAGAAGATTAGAGGAAAAAAATTTCCTCCCCAACACATCCTGGATTTTACAACTTTTAATTTCTAAGCAATAAATTAATTTTTAAAGTACAGGCTCTTCCTGTATCATATACTGACTAGAGTTATTTGTTACTTCCCAAACTTCCGACATTATAATGTCATGACTGGTTGTATTTCTCCACCACGGAGTTGCTGCATACTGTTTATAGTACACTCACTATGGAAGACAGGCTCCGGTTTAAAAAAAAAATCCCCAAATCCAAGGGCAGATGGTACATTAACTAGAGAAAGAAAACAGAACTGCTCAGCAACTATTCTGCTTTCTCAAAAGCAAATGATTTTTATGCAGGAAAGGACAGAAGAGACCTCACTAAGAGAGAACCTAGATACAAGCAGAAGAGGTCACAAATTCTGGTGAATTATATTCCAGGGAAAGCCTGCATATATAAGCACAGAAATATTACAACCTCTGAAAAATTAAGAAAGGGGGCACCTGGGTGGCTCAGTAAGTTAAACATCTGACTTTGGCTCAGGTCATGATCTTGCAAGTTCATGGGTTTGAGCCCTGAGTCGGGCTCTGTTCTGACAGCTAGCTCAGAGCCTGGAGCCTGCTTCAGTTTCTGTATCTCCCTCTCTCTCTGACCCTCCCCTGCTCACGCTCTCTCTCAGAAATAAATAAAAAACATTTAAAAAATTCAAACAAAAGGAAATTAAAATTCCTAGGTATTGCAGACAAGTTAAATACTAATTTGTGGCAAAATTAAAAATTTAATCAGTAAACTTAATATTCTGAGGATTTCTAGGAACTAGATATTCACTGAGTCAGTCATTTTTAAACTATTATCATTTACTTTGTGATAGATTAGGAATACTCAAGATATTTTTTAGCAAAGCATTTGATTTAACTTTTTCTCATGATGTCTTATAATGAAGACTGACCTACAGGCTAGAATAGTTTGATAAATAAGGAGGACAGTGCTAACTGAATTCAGCTGATCATTGATTTGTCTCAGCAATATCTCCCAAGGCTGACTACATTCCCAACCAGGTCTACATCTGGTACTCTCAGTATATGACTTTGAATTCTAATAAGCACCCTGAAAAGTAGATGTTACTAATATGATTTTGTTGATATGGAAAATAAGTTTCTCAAGGTCACAGAGCTAGTAAGTATCACGGTCAAGCTCTAAAACCAGCCTCCAAAAGTCCAGGACCACTTCTGCTGTGCCACACAGGCAGAATTCTAGGTGAGCCACCACGGCAAGAGGAACTGTTTCATGTATTATTAATGACTTGGATGTCTGGTGAACAAACTCACCAAATGTGCAGGTGACATAAAACTAGAAGGTAGAATTAGCATGACGAATGCCATGATCGAGACTAAAACATAGCTAGCAAACTGGAAATTGGAAACTTCAAGTAACACAAGAGAAAAAAAGTTCATATTCTAGACATTTTTAATTGTATACTCAAAAAATTAATAAAGCCTACTTTGATAGCAATGTGTTGGGGGTTGAGGAGAGGGAAGGAGAGGCTGCGGGTGGTGAGGTTTTCAGTAACTGTGGTGTATTTATTATAAAAGACAGATGATTTTGTTTGAAGATCGGAATTCATTGCACTCTGCGCTGTTCAGATTAGATTGAATTACTGAATTAGATTTGGGGCTAAGGATCTTCAGCACAGAGAAAAGGTCTTAAGTATGGAAAGAAACATAAAGATGATGAATTTTTAGTGAAGACAACTAACATTTATGGACTTCTAGGTAACTGTACCAAGTACTTTATGAACATTGTTTCACTTAATCCTCACAATAATTCTATAGGTAAATAGAGTATATTATCATTCCCATTTTACAGACAAGGAAACTGAGGCTCAGGGATCTGAAAGTCTATCAAGGAGAGAAAAGTCTTAACTCTACCACTTAAGACTTTTCATTTCTTAACTATTTTTTGGTCATAGACTCTTGTCAGATGGATGAATTTTTGATCCTCTCTGTTGAAATATTCTCCATATAATTTCACAAGTTGGAGGACTATTGGCAAAAGACTAATGAGAAACAGGTGCAAGGAAGCAGTGGGTGTGTTCAGTGTAAACAGAGACTTATTAACGTTAACAGAAAGAAGGGGTACCTCAAAAGTGGTGAGTTCCCTGTCACTGAAGTGTTCGATAAAAATGTGGCTTGTCTGTCAGAAGTGCTACAGAGGAGATACTAAAATGGATTAGAGGTTGGTCTATGATTTTAAAGTACCCTTTTTTACTCTAAGATTGTGAGCCTACTAGGTAATTTTGGCAATTTTTGTTTGATGGCAAAATAAAAGTTAAAAACGGAAAATATTGTTTTTCTAGATCATTTTGCTGAACATATCAAATAGAACACTTAAATAACATTATTTCCATCTATATATTGATATTAGCTATATCAAGTACTTGAAAATGACCTCATCCAAAGGAAAAAAGGTATATTCAACTGTTGATTTTGACGTGATTTATACTTTGTCATAATAAAAATAGATTCTTTATTCCTCTGAATCCTTAAGTACAGTTTTGCTTAAGGTAAATACCATATACTTCAGATCCCCAAAAGATCCTGAAAAGATGGAGCCTTTGATGGGAACGTTTACCAGTTTGTAATTTTATGTTAATTTATTTTCATAAAGGATGGGGAGAGGGCAGACAGGAAACAGAAGACAGACAACTCCTATTGTTCCGCTTTGCTTCTCGGATCCCTTAGCTAATGGCTGAAGGATCTTACAGATCTATTTCGATTTTTCGCCCCATTTGCAGCATAATTCGCCCCAAGATAGAGCCCCCCATAGCTCTAAAGAGCACAAGAGCTAATACTTTGCTTATCTCGTGTTATTCGGCGCACAAGCCTGGCAGTTTGGCATGCAAATTAAATGTTCATAGGCAAATCTTTTACCTGAAAATCTTCAGTCACTCTTCAGGTAGGAAGGAGGGAGATTGAAACTGCAGCTCAGAATGCAATACCTCGGACTTGGGCTCAGAACCAGCTGGAAGGGGCGGGGACTAACTTCTCAATTAGGAGACGGCGAGGTGAGTCTCTCTCCGAAGCAGCTGGCCGAGAGAGGTCTGCTGGAATTAAAGTGGCCTGTAACTCCCACGTTTCTGCCATTGAAAAATCCAAAGGGCAAAGCTGACGAGCCAAGACCGACGGACACACACCGGTCGCCCACCTCCCAGGTGTTCACTTACACAGCACATCGCCGGGGCGGCTCCGCGCCCAACGCCCCTCGGGACGGCCGCGGGGCTGGGGAGGCATCCGGCGTCGGCGGACTGCGTGCCCTGCTCGGCCCCCGAAGCTGCCCGAGGGGCGCCGGTTGGCGTCAGGGCGGCCGGGTGCGGAGCGAAGCGCAGTCCGGCTGCAAGGGCAGCGGCGCCTGCTTCTCGCGCGCCTCGCTCCGCCGGCAGCCTTTGGAGGACGGGGTGTCCTTTGGCTGTGCTCCGGGCCCTGGGCCCCTCCTCCCGCCGCCGCCGCCGCCGCCGCGCCCGCCGCGCGCTCCTCGCGGGTCCGCGCCCCGAGCCAGGCCAGCCGGGCCCCGCAGGTGGCAGCCCTAGGGTGCTCGGCTCCAGGACGCGCCCTCTGCGGGTCGCACTCAAGTACAGGGCTGGGAGGACCGCCACCGTCACGTCGGCTGGCGCCGGGTATAAGGCAGGGGCGGGGCACCACCGCCCTCACTCCCATCATCCGGAGTGCTGCCGCTTCCCCAGCAGGATTTAGATCCCCAAATTCCCAGCGAAACAGAAGCAGGCAACTCACTTCCCTTGCTGGCCCCCTTGCCGCTCATCTGAGCCACCTGAGCTGCTAGCTGTTCTGGGCTCTGCCCAGGTAAAAGGAGGGACTGGTCTCAGACCGCTGCACGGCGGGCGGAGATTGCCTTGGGGAGAACAGGTGCCCGGCCCGCCACACTAAGCAGGTGAGCTCGCCGCAGCCTCACCGCAGACTTCCCAGCTAAGCGACCTGGACCTCAGATACAGGCGCAGCAGCCAAACCCACTTTGACCTCAAACCCCACACTTGGCAGGGCCAGGCCAGGGACTCTGCCCACCTAACTAGCTTGCACTGTGAGAATGCAGAGCAAAAGTGCTTGGAGCACTTAATCATTTAAAAGTACACACCCATTTTGTACTTCTCCATCCCCAAATACTCCACAGAATATTTTCCAAGTTTGTTTCTCAAAAACAGAACACCTCTAACCAAACACCATTTTCTCAATCGTTAAACTATTGAAGTCACTCTCTCAACACACGACCATTATTCAGTTCTGTTTCCCTGTGCGTTCCACGTGGTGCCTGCATCTGCGCCGCATGACTCCTAGCAGCAGTAAAAGCCCCAAGAGGAATACAGAAGAACCATTATTTTAGTTGTGTTCTACAGCGGAGTGGCCATGCAAAATCCATGCTTGGAGAGACTTCAGGGCAGCTTCACCTGGCTCCTTCACTTTACGGACAAGGACACTGACTGTGAAAAAGAAACACCTGAGCCTACAAAGCTCACGATTTGTAGCCTCAAGTGAGACTGAGGTCTCTAAAGATATAACATAGTAAAAGAGTGCTGAGGAGTTGCCAGCATACATTATACAAAATCTAGCTCAGAATCTTTCTGATTTTAAGGCACTGAGCAGTCTTATTACTATGCTAAAATAACTAAGGCAACTTTATATACAAATACAGTAGCCCAGAAATGTCATTTTTCTTCATGATAACTTGATTAATGGAATTGGAGTGGGTACATTCTGACACAGAACGTAATACACTTATGTTGATTTGTCTGATATGTATCAATTTTTAATGTATACAAATTGATTATACTAATATAAGCAAATATTTAGTTTGACATATTTCAGACATATCATGCTACATAATTATGATCAAATGCAGGGCTCTACCTTTAGGCCTAATTCTTCACTTAACCTATTTCATCGCTTGCCCTCTTTCTCTCCCAGCATTAAGTCTTTACCAGCCTAGTGCTGGAATAATCCATGAGACTTCTGGCTTCCACACTGAGAGATCAGTGTCAGCCCTTGATGTGCTCAAGGCAAGAAAAGAGAAACTTAGAAATTTGTGTTTTACTTCCCAGTTACCAGAGCAGAAGTGTAGGAGGAAAGAGTCTCTGGCTTTGCCTGGAAGAGAAATCACTTCCGTAGGCACACATCCCTTTCTGTCACTCAGTTCAAAGATACAGTGGATCTGGGGCACCTGGGTGGCGAAGAACTCTTGACTTTGGCATGTTCACGATCTCAGATTCGTGATTTCAAGCCCCATATCAGGCTCTGTACTGCCCACGCGCTGCACTGACAGCACAGAGCCCACTTGGGATTCTGTCTTCCTCTCTCTCTGCCCCTCCCCTGCTTGTTCTCTGTCAAAATAAATAAAAATAAACTTAAAAAAGAAAAAGATGCAGGCGATCATCTTTATCAAGTGTTCGTTGTCCTCTGCCCCTTTGGTGTCAAGAATGGAATAGGAAGGGGAAGCTTTGTGCTAGGCCTCCCTGCTCTCTGTGGGTGGCACCTGTCACACAGGCTGTTGCTCTGGCCAGGCCCAAGCCAGGTTCTCCCTCCATCATCCTGGGTCTGGCCCAGACGCAGAAAAACCCGGAAGTAGCCCTTCCACCCTCTCTGCTCTGCCTCCCGGACTGGCTTCATACCCAGAGCCCCAAGTCTAAGGCGGTGCTGGTGGGCCAGGCCGCGGACAGGCAGGGCTTTCCTTTGGCTCCCAGGCCGCTGCTGGCTGACCCCTACTGCCAGCAGGACTTGATCCACTCAGGCCTAGGAAGGCTGCAGGCCCTGCACTCTCTGTGGCCGTAGGAGGAGCTGCTTTTCCAAGTGCTTTTGAGAAGCAACCTGCCTCCAGCCTTAGGATGTCAAAAGGTAAGCGGGGCCTTGGCCTCTCCTCAGGGCTGCAGGCCATATTTTGGTCAAGACGGTGCCCTTCTAAGAGCCAGAGGTAAGACGGCGTGGAGGAATGTGGCACCCCCCACTGCCGGGGCTCAGAAAGGCTGGCTTTTCCTCAAAGTCACCCCAGCCTGGAGCTAGGAGTCAGAGCCCAGTGTCTCTGTTAGCCTGTCATCCTCCTATTCGGGCTTGAACAAGATGGTTGAGACCAGAAGCTGGAGCTCCTCAAACTGGTGGTGACAGATGCCAACTGTAAGATTTTGAAAGTGTGCTGAATACGACAATTAAAAACTGGAGAACAAAGTGAGAGAGGAAACAAAGGACCCCAAAGACAGCCTAACTTGAATGCGGTTAGGGTAAGGGAGCCTGGGCTCTAACATGTATAACCCAGGGCCTGGGTTTTCTTTTTGAAGGGCATGGAAGGAAGCATAATAAAAACGATAAAATACTAGAATCTGAACACAGCAATCTGACCCCAGAACGCATGCTATTCACAGCAAAGAGGTATTAAGCTGGATTGGGCACTGTATGCCAGATAGTAACTTACCCTTGTGAAGAAATCCCATTTCCCACCCCAACCCCCTAAAACACTTCCACTCTAGACAGGTTAGAGAGAGGTAGAGAGCTGACTCCCTCCATTGGTTTCTCCACCTAAACACTGAGCACCTCCAACTTCCATTCCTGCTTCAGGTTGACCAGTCAGAGCTTACATCTCTGGGAGAAGCAAGGGAGGGTGTGCCAGCGAGGCAGAAGGAATCTTCTCTCTACTAGTGAAATGATGTGACCCTGTCAGGAGGGATCTGGGCACCAGGACTCACCTGCCACTGCGGTCCTTACTAGAACACCAAAGATCAAATGTCTTCATTTGCTTTCTGATAATGAAGTGATGAGGACAGGAAAAGTAGATGGAATAGTACATGAATGTTCATATAGAGACTAGAGCATGCATGTCCATTGGACAGTTATGAAAGTCACAGAAATGATTTATAAAGAATAAAAACTGAGGAGGCAGAAAAAAATGACCATTATGGGGTATAAACTCTGATAGACTAGCACACAAATAAGACCTATGAGAAAAGTCATTTTGACATTTTGATTTTCATAATAATAAAACTATGTTAAGATAAAAAAATAATGCTGTTATTTTATGCATAGACACATTAAAATTGTATCCCCTCATCTGTCATAAATAGTTTACTAGTCCAGGAAAAAAAAAAACTTCTTAGTGGTTACTGGAAACAAGGCTATTTCCCACATATACTTTTCACTGATTCAGGTTTTATGAACTGTTTATTTATGTTTAGGCTAAAGTGGTCTCTTCAAAATTTATCTTAAACATGCAAAGATATTTTAGATTTGGTGAGAGACCCAGATACCTCCTCTGAGTAGGCGACAGAGATATCTTCATGTCATGCCCTAGACTAGGGTATGAGGATGCAAAGCTATAAAAAAAATTCAGCAGCAGAAATGATACATTGATTCTTTAACTTTTTGTAGCCCAAGACACATAAACACATTTCTTGATGAAAAACTAGCTGTAGGTATGAAAATGGTGTCATCCTTCACTCCTGAAACCTTTTCTGCACCTCACGTAATACTCCTATTTTTTCCCATGCCATCACAGACTTCGAAATCTTGTTATAAACCTTAATCACACTGTTGTGAAATCAAAGAGTGAATTATCAGATTACCTGACCAGCCAAACAAGTGTCAATATAAACCTACAGGGTTTCCTGTTTTGATATTTTAATATATATCAGAATATTTTTAAAAGTTCTTATGCCCAAAGTAAATTCTCAGAGCTGTATTTTAGGTTATCCTAGTCTTATTCATCATGTCACTGAAATGGAAAGTGATTTACATTATCTTTCTCGTATGAAAGACAAGCATCCAATCACCCCTCAGAACTTCTCTTTTCCTGAGGAAAAAGTGTTTAACTTTTTCTCACAGGATTTCTTTTAATCATGTTTGTCAGGCTTCACTAGACCCATTTTTGTTCTCCAGATACAATTAAATGTCTGCCAATGCAAACTGGGGAAAAGTTCCAAATAAGAGTTTAACTAGAGCAGAGCATTGGATAGAGTATCGTGGAACAGTATTTCCCAACCAGGTATTATATAATCCAATTCTGTTCATTAACAACTAGACACATTGTCAACTGTGCCATAGGCCTGTTTCTTCTTCTCACTATTACATTTTTCCTTAAAGTTCTTCTACATTCTCAGTTTTGGTATTGTGAATAAAAGGAAACTTCATTTACAATGGAGTTGGGAGGCCAGCAGGGGGAGCTCTCATTCCTTACTACTGCTGTCAATTGCAGACTCCATAGGGAGAGACCTTGAGTACTATACCATCCTAGCAGCAGGATAAAAAAGGCTTTTCTCCTCCACCTGCAGTGGCCAAGCCAATGAAAGACTGTCACTACTCAGCAATGACAAGCCACTATGCTTGGAACTCCCACTTTTCTTGGACTTTTTGTTTATAACAGTTTCCCAACTCCCCTCTTTCTTCTATATAAGTTGCAGTCCTTTTGTTTGGTTCTCTGGACTTGCCTATGATTTTGCTGTAGCTTGCTTGTGCTTGATTCCAATTGTCTGCTATTCCTGAGTAAATCCATTTTTGCTGATTAAAATAACTGACAGTTTTATTTTTAAGGTTAACAGTCTTTAAGTTTATTAATGTATATTTGTCAGTCAATAAGTCGCCTTGTACCTATGTAAGATCTGTCTGAAGATCTTTACACTAAGTTAAATATATTTTGGAGTCTTTACTTTAAATCACCATCAGTGCTTTATTTCTCTTGTATAAGTAGACTTAATACTCCTCCCAAGAGGTAGAAATATCTGGAAATAAATTAGCATCTTATTATTTTAAATTATTTTGTTGTCTTTAATGGTGACCTGTTTGTCCTCTCCCTGTATTGTAAACATCTTGAGGACAGGAGCTGTGTACTTTATGTATTCTATGTGCTTATTTCTGGTGCCTGGCATATGGAAGGCATTAAATGTTTGCTGAATTGAACATTCTTAGCCTGCTGTGGTGCTTACTATGATTTTATCTCATTTTAAACAGAGAAAAACATTACTATTTAGATCCATGAGTTTGAGCTTCTTTACGTCTTTAACCGTGTTTATTTGGACAACCATTTCTGGCACTGAGATGGGGCCAACTTCGTTTGATTACAATGTGGGTATAAGACATTTGAAACTAGGTAAAGACTACAATTATTGCTCCAAAATTTATTATTTCAGACATCATATTGTATTATATGTTTTTTTACTTAGGGCATATGTGCCTTTCATTATGACTCGTTATCCATTGTCTGCATACCGTGGTTGTTGAAAAACAATGTTCCAGTTTGATCAAACTATTTCAGCTTCCCTCCTGGAAATCTGGAGATTCTAGATAAAAATTCTGGATAAAAAAATTTTATTGTTCCCATTTTCAAAGTATAGTTAGCAAATATTTAGCTTTAATGTAGAAATTATTAGACATTAAGATGTTTATTCAAGAATTTAAGAGTATTAGAATAGGTATCTGAGGGGGTATTCACAGCAGTAGCAAAATTTTATGTCCTGTAAGGATATTCCTCCAAAGCCTTAAGGAAGGCAAGCAAGTCTATTACCACATATATAAATTGGTATACAAGGAAGAATTCTAGCTGATTCAATATAACCGACAGCCTGTCCACACGGTAATATTTTATGGCTTGTGATATTTCACGTAACTGATAACGTTGCTTGAGGGAATAGGGAACTACTATAATTTAGAGGTAACAATGATAATTACTGCTTACTGAACACCCACTATGTACTGGGAGTCATAATGGCCTTCCACATGCTATCTCATTTAATCCTCACAATCATACTTTTTAGTACGTATAATTTCTGTTTAAATATGAGGAAATGGAAAAGATAAGGTAACTGCTAATATGTGGTAGAACTTGAATTTGAATCCATGCTTGAGTCCAAAGTTTCAGTTGTCTGCACAATGGCCTACAAAACCTGGCTGCTGCTGCAGGCAGCATTCCTCCTAATCCATCAACTCTGATGGGCAGTATCCATTGCCAGAAATATCTTCTTTAAAATGCCTCCTATAAATGCTCCCATGTTCCCAGCATCTTAAGGAAACTCCAAAGGAATCCTCTGATATGTCTATCAGAACTGAAGTTTGCTCTTTGTTTATTATTGATAAATCTTAAGCAAGGTTCTCGGATAGTCAGCTTGGTTATTTTCCTGGTAAGTGAACATGGGGATATTATTCTTCCAATTTTACTGATGAAGAAAACAAAAGGCATAAAGCCTTACGGCCTTACCTCAGTAGTCATAAATGTAGTAGTAGAGATTGTAGTAGAACTTGTTTCTCTCAGATGTTGCCTCTGTAGCTCTATTAGCAATTCTTTGGTCTCTTCCAAAGCTTCTTTTCATAGAGTTATAATGACAAGTTTCTCTTCCATGTAAACTTCCACATTTAGGGCTTATTTCCTTCCCAAGATATTCACTTCATTTTTGTCCCAGCTACTTCATTGCCTAGAGTGGTTGAGGAGAGTAATATTCTGCTTAAACAGAAAGTGATCATAAAACCAACACATGCATAATCAAAATTTTTAGAAGTTACTATATTAGAATAAAATTTATTCAGAGTTTCAAGGAAAATAATGTCTTTGTTTCCTACAATGTATCCTAGTTAATCTCCAACCCACCAGGTAACAGGTGTAGAAAAGGTGAGGGTGGGGTTTTGGGAGGTAAACATGTGTGTTCATTTAGGCATCTTGATCCACAGATATTCTTTAGATTTAAATCTCAAGTCTTCTGCACCAGAAGGGAGCATCCTAGGCAGCAATGAGTTTGAGGAAACTTGATGAATAGGGCCGTCAATCACAAACCAGGTAAGATGTCTACCAAAAATAAAGTCCTTGGTTTGGAATGGTTGAACTGATACCATCTTCTTTCTTTCTGGCTGTGATTAGACAGTAGAACTAATAGTCTTCTAAGGTTACCTGGTTCTGAATAATAAACTCATATCATCTGATTATAGGTCTTTTCTTTTTGGTAGCTGAACAACAACAACAACAACACAAAGTAACCTGTTTACCCAAGAGTAAATCCAGAACCCATTCCTATTCCAATGTACTGGCAAATATTTTCTTATGCAGCAAGATAATACTTCCACTGCTCAGCTCTGCTTGTGCATAACCATCTGTAAAGCCGTATGGGGATTGTTTGTACTGAACTGTTACATTTTATCTCATAACTGATTCCTGCCCCAGGAGTCAAGGGCTGATGATAGGTTTAAAAAAAAAAAAGCCAAAAAACTAATATTCTGACTTACAGTGAGTCTAACAGATCTCTCTATTAAAAGGACATGACAAAAGTAAAAAAAATGATTATGCCTGCAGAACACTTGCTACGTGTTTAGATTACAGGCCTGGGAAGCCCAGATGTGTTATGAAAAATAAATCTAGTATAATTTTAGATGGGATGACCGTTAGATTAGTAGGTATGTCCCTTGGCTATCGTAAAGAAATGCCTTTTAAAGACTGGTACAAACTGCATTCTCGGTTCAATCATATTGGGCCATCCACATGGGGCCGATAAAGGCAGGCAAGTACGATGACAAGTTAATAGGAAGTGTTACTGATCATTTCTGGAGGCAAGGATTTCTTTGTGTAAAGTCTTCCTTCAAGCACTGGGACTAGTACTGAAATTAGTGGAAGCTTCTTTTTTTTAAACTTAAAAAAAATGTTTTTATTTATTTCTGAGAGAGAGAGACACACACACAGTGTGAGCAGGGGAGGGTCAGAAAGAGAGGGAGACACAGAATCTGAAGCAGGCTCCAGGCTCTGAGCTGTCAGCACAGAGCCTGATGGGGGGCTCGAACCCATGAACTGTGAAATCATGACCTGAGCCAAAGTCAGACACTGAACTAATTAAGCCACCCTGGAAGCTTCTTTTCAAGAGCCGCTAAAATTGAGTTTCTTCTGTACAGCTGGCTCAGTCCTGCACATTTGAGAAGACTGACAGACGACTCTGGGTATGTAGCTGTTCCCTCTACAACTTAAGCCAGAATGAGAAAAGCAGGATATGCAGCCTATTTTAGAATTACCCCCAACTATAAAAAACAGCATCAGAAAATTATCCTTATAAAAACAGAAGATAGGTTGGGAACTCAGGAAACCATGGACAATTGATTAGTTTTCCCTCTCATATTTGCATTCACTTTTTTTTTTTTACCATGTATATTTTTGAGAAGATGTTTAATTTAATTACAAATCTAGTACTCAAGAGGTTTGAATTAAAGACCTCATTTTGTCCCTAAATAATTGGGAAGCTTCAAAAATTTTTCAGATGTCTTAGAAAACTATTTGCTTATCTATAAATCAAAACCAACTATCAAGTTACATTTTGCATTCCTCATATATGAGTATTTTATTAGGTTTCATTGAAGACTAACAGTAATTGGCCAGAGCTAAAGTAAGTCTAACCATTAGTTCTTTTAAGATTGAATAGATGTGCCTGCTTGGCTCCATCCATAGAGCATGGGATGCTTGACCTCAGGGTTGTGAGTTCAAGCCCCACACTGGTTGTAGAGCTTACTTAAAAAAGGGGGGTGGTATGCCTGGGTGGCTCAGTCAGTTAAGCATCTGACTTCGGCTCAGATCATGATCTCATGGTTTGTGAGTTTGAGCACAGGCCCTCTGTCTCCTTCTCTTTCTGCCCCTTCCCCACTCTCTCTTTCTCAGAAATAAATAAACATTAAAAAAATAAAAGATTAAACATAATAAAAAATCAGTATGTCATTCAAAGGTAAAACTTCTTACTGTATTTTAAAATATATCTTCTTTCAATATTTTATATATTTTACAGTAATTATATACTCATATTTTATGTAGTGGTTCTTATACATATATAGTTGAATCATATTACTTTGACTTCACATAACGTTAAATAGTATTGACTTTTTCTATAACTATTGACTATAAATTTACAGAATTTAACTAAATGAAACCATGGTTCCATTTAGGGAAACAATCTGGAATATAATACATTTCTTTCTGATTTGAAGCAAGTATGACTAGATTTTTACATAACTGCAAACAGATGTGTGGCATCATTGGAAGATTTTACTGTTTATTAAGAATTAAAAATTATTCATGGAATTTATACACCTTATCTATTGTGGAATCAGATATCCCTCATGCTAAACCTTTTGTGGTTATCAATTTCTTTAATTTTTCAAAACCCCAAATGTTTAAAAAACTCATTTAAAAAACCCCAAATGAAGAAAGAGAGCTAAAAATTACATAAAACATTTGCCTTATTGTCACTTTGCCTAGTCAGTATAGGTCAAACACAAAAGTCTAGTCATACTTGTATTAAATGAGAAAGAGGTATGTCCTAAAATTCTAATTTGTTTCCCATTCCATAAGTCAACATACAAGTTTTATTTAATCATATTTTGTAAACATCACTGGAGAAAACAAATTTCAAAGTATGTTCTTTCAGCATAAGCCATGCAATTTTCAAAGGAATTGTAAAGAAAAGACCAAGAAGCCAATACTTTAAGCTTGGCATTCTGAGGTGGGGAATCCTCCATTAGTAACATGGACTTATATGCCTATGGCACTGGCTTAAAAAAAAACCCTTCTTCTAGAACAAGTGCCATCAAGGCAAGTGGAAAAAGTTGGATAGAAATAGAGCATGGTGATAATGGAACAATTTCTAAAGGCAGTTCATAAAAGACCATTAGGTTAACCTACTCTGAGGCCTTGGGGTATGTAGGTATTTGCAAAGCAACTTAATTTAAGAAACAGAAACCAAAAAAGATCAAAGTAACCTGAGACTGAAAGTCGCATCACAACCAGATCCATGAAAAGATCAAATATTCTATAAGTGTCCTTAAAAAGTTCATAATTATCTTCAAAAATGAACAAACAAAACCCCAAAATGAGCTGCTAATGTAGCTCCCTGGATCTAAAGAAATGTGTCAAGTCTCAAATCTAAATTGGAACATGAAAAGAAAGTGTTTAATAAAGTTTTATTTGCAATGAAATTCGAAACTCATAAATGATTTTCAGTTTGGCATTGGCAAATTCTAGTTCATAGCAGCTTAATGTTTTCAGATAAAGGCAGCGGTTTCAGAAGTTAAAGAATAGAAGTTCAGAAAGGCCAACAATGGCTTTTCAGAATGGATTGCTACAACTTGAACCTTTTTGCATTTTTGTTCACTTACTTCCTTGACATTTTCTCCTTCCATATATGCCAAGAGTCTGGTTTTGTGAGTCACTGAATTCAGCTTTTTTTCTGAAAGTGATCTCTCAATCTGAGATAATTGAATGTTATTGGCAAGCTCTATTACTTTACTTCATGTTGGCTAGAGGAATGTGGTTACAAAGCATTCATCAGCCTAGGGCCTCAGGGAAAGAGAACTTGGAACACAACCCTTCACAAAACAAAGGGTCCTCAAAGAAATGAGTCCCACTCTCAGCCAAATATGACAGAACTGCACAACTCCAGCAGCTCTGCTTCCCCAATCAGAATAGGGCACGTCCTGAATTTGATGAAAAGAATAAAGACCTCCAGATATTGAACAAAGAGTGAATATTTTATACTCACAAAAATGCAATTGCTAATAGGGATTTGTATAGAAATGAGAATACCACAGCTCAGCACATCAGACTCATCTAGAGCTTGCGTGATTCCCTAGGAAGCCTTGCCCTTCAGTTCCACTTCTGTTACAGGCCCTCATACACAAGTCCCATGACATGTCAGACCATGTGGGACCCTTAGACAGTTACAGCACCAACATAATTTGTACCAAATTGGATGGAGGCCTACCATGTGCAGGGAGGAAGCCAAGTGCTTCAGCACAGCTCAGACCACCTCCCTCCTTTAGTTCCCTTACACCTTTGTTTCTCAGCTTTGGTGAAATCTCACCATTATGCTTTACCTCAGCCCCTTGCACTGCAGCCCATTTTCCCAAGCTACTATACCTGCATCTTGTCCTAGAAGCCTCTCCTCCAGGCCCTATGGGAAACCTTGACCTCCCGAGGATAACCCTTCTCCTACAAAATGAATAAAATTCTCCGGCCCACTCCTGTCTCCCAACATGAACATTTCCCTTCTTTGTAAGGCCTCTGCCTTGTGGTCATACTCTCTGCTATGCTTCATCGGCCTTTTATGTCAGCCTGTTATGTCACTTTCCCCTGTTCAGTGGGAACCTCAGGGCCTACGTCCACCCTTTCTACCTGGTGTCTGTTTAATGCTGGAGGTGATTTTATCCATGTGGTATAGAATAAAAAAGATACACTTCTTAGTGATAATATAAGACTGTGGATCACCTCAGGAATTTATAATTTTATCAATAATGTCAAAAGTAATGTGATTATAGTTTGTGTATAATAAAACACATCTAAAACATATAAATATTTATATAGAATTATAAAAACAAATTATTAATAGTTTCTGTTCAATAAGTGAAACACAGTTTAAGTTGCTTCAAATTAATTAGTGTAAAAAATAGTATGGCA